GTCTGGGGTAGACAGGGGTCTGTGGGAAGTCTGCTGGGGTAGACAGGGGTCTGTGGGGAAGTCTGGGGTAGACAGGGGTCTGTGGGAAGTCTGGGGTAGACAGGGGTCTGTGGGGAAGTCGGCTGGGGTAGACAGGGGTCTGTGGGGAAGTCGGCTGGGGTAGACAGGGGTCTGTGGGGAAGTCGGCTGGGGTAGACAGGGGTCTGTGGGGAAGTCTGGGGTAGACAGGGGTCTGTGGGAAGTCTGCTGGGGTAGACAGGGGTCTGTGGGGAAGTCTGCTGATGTAGACAGGGGTCTGTGGGAAGTCTGCTGGGGTAGACAGGGGTCTGTGGGGAAGTCTGGGGTAGACAGGGGTCTGTGGGGAAGTCTGCTGAGGTAGATCGATGTACAGGCCCTGGATATTTGTAGGCCGCGGTCCTGCTCTGTTGCCCAGGGGACATTTGGTTCTTTCCAAGCATGGCTGCCCTAGGCAATGGGCTCCTGATGTTCCCAAATAGACCTCAATCTTAGCACAGACCTGGAGGATCGCAGGCCATGAGACCCAGTGACGAAGTGGCCTCAGGCAGACATTGCCTTCTGTCTGAGGCTGAGAAGAGTGTCAGTGTTGGCCCCATCCCCAGCTTCTCCCAGGATAGTCAGTTCCTCCCACATAGAAACCACCCATCACTGGTTTCTTCCTTCTGGTCAGCTTATTTCTGAGGTTTACAGGACAGGTCCAGCACTGGTTATCACTTAGGGGCTGGACTGTGGACCATCCCGAGTGGTTGGTGGCTGTTGGCATCAGGCATGTATTGCAGCTGAGCTGGAGCTCAGGTTGGGTGACCCCTTCTTCCAGGCCCAGCTCCTTCCTTCTGCAGTCCGACGGTGGACTCCTCCACCTTATCAAAGGCCTGTCCTATGGCTGGGCAGGGTGGTACTGGAGGATCACGGGGTGAGGGACAGGTAGCTAGCCCGCTGGTTTCCATGGTTTCTGTTGTCTTCCCAAGCTCGTATTACAAGGCTAGTTGGCAGATTCCAGATCCGGGCATCTGTGCTCTGGGTGATTTGTTAGGCCCTGCTATGAACCGGGGGTACTCACCTGGTAACGTGTCTGGCCATTGGTGCCAGCTGGACCTGTATCCCTGGATAAATCCTGGGCTGGACCCAGCCTGCTAGGGCCAGGCCTTGAGGTGCTGAGACAACGTTTGAGGGTCCTTATGTACCCTTGGCTCTGACCCCCTTTTATTTTTTTACTTTTATTCTTTGTGGATTTCACATCATGCATTCTAATCTCCTTGTCTCTTCAAATCTGCCCTCTGCCCTCGCAACCTCCCCCACATATCAAAACCAAATTGAAAAGAAAAACCAAAAACCAAACCAACCAACCAACCAACCAACCAACCAACCAAAACAAAACGAAAACAAAAAAGAAGAATCTCATCATGGAGGCTGTGGTGTGGGCCGCTGAGTCACACAGCCTACCCTTTAGTCCATTCGTCTTTGCTTGCAAGTGTTCATTGCCTGGAGTCATTGGTCTGGCTCGAGACCTCTGGTTTCTGCTAGCCACTGATAGTGGGCTCTCACCGGGGTTCCTCTCGGATATCCTGTTATTACCCTGTGTCGTGGAGATCTGCTGTTTTGGATCTGACCCCCTTGGATCATAGCAAAGGCCTGCCATGCTCAGTCTGGCACCGCCTAGGACTTGGCTGTGGGGCCACTCTAGGGGTGTCTCAGAAACTGGCCTCTGCTGATACAGGACTGGACAGCAGTGGTTAGGTGGACCAAGGCCACAGATCAGCTTCTGTCCACGTGTTTGTTGGGGTGCCGGCTAAAACCTGGATCTGGTCCACCCACAGACAGGTCCCAGAAGTTTCCAGAATGTTGTTGCATCACTAGTCACTTCCCTTGGTTGCTGTGGAGTCCACGGCCTTCTGTTTGCACCCTCTGTGTCCCTGTTCCTGCTGGGGAGGAGGGCGGAATATGGGAAGGGGAAGGGCCTTACTTGTTCCTCCATCACCCCCCCCACACCTCACAGTCTAGGGGCACTGGGCCCCCTGGGGACGGTTCTTAGAGTCTGTCTTACCTGCCCTTCTAAAGGTGTGTTTCGGTGCCTTTTGCCTGTGGTTGGATCTTTGCTCTGTGATGCTGGGTGGTTGGGCCCCCCTCACCCTGATCTGGCTCCTCACATCTCTCCCCACACTCCCACCTCTTCCCGGCTAAGTGGCGGCTCTGACGCCCTCTCTCTGTTGTTTGTCCCTTTGGCCCGGCCTTGGCTGGCATTCAGGTCTCTCCCCAGTTTCTCAGGCCATGGACCCTTCTTGCATTCTCTGTGGAGCCAGGGTGGGGTGGGGTCTTAGGTCCAGAGGGCTTGGCCTGCGCTGTCTTCTCAGGGGTCCTTGCACTGGGTCCCCCGTATGGGTGTCAAGAGTGGAGCACTTAGGTTCTGTGTGGGTTGGGCCTCTGACTAGACACGGCACCTGCAGGGCGTCCAGAAGCACCCTCCGTTGACAGATCACTAAGCATTTTGTCTTTTAGGAGGGTCAGGTGTGTTGGGTGATCTGGGTTGGGAAGGGAGGGAGACGAGGAGCGAGTGGCTGCTGGCACTAAGCCAGTCGGGGGATGGTCCTTAGGGAGGGGAGGTCAGACAGAGTGTGGGGAGTGCTGTCTCCGATCAGTGCAAGACCAGCAGGCCTTGCTCCGCCGGGGAGAGGCAGAGGTTATCTTCTGGTCTGGCCCTGTCCTCCCCTTTTATGCATGTCTCATCTCCGTCCCATGCCTCTGTCCTACGCACAAATCCCCATCACTTAAAAACTCTTCCTTACCTTTGGGGGTTCCCAAAGTTACATGGGACGGCTCAGAGGTCTCCCTAGTCTTGGACCTTCTCATCTCTGCAGCCTTTGGGACAGCCTCCAGTCAGTGGAGTATTGGGCAGAGCACCCTGGTCAAAGGCCCCTGGACTGCAGCTTGGCTCAGGAGGTGGTCAGCGGGCAGTCTGGCCCAGCTGTGTCTTTTTCTCTAGCTTCTGCAGGCACTGGAGATTGAGAACACACGCCTGGGGGCAGCTTTGGAGTGGCGGAGCTGTGAGCTGGTCTTCTGGCAGTGGATGGTGAGGAAGTCTTCCCTGTCCCATCCCCCCCCCCCCGTCCCCCCCCCTGCTGGGGGGCCCTGGCCAGGGGCCCCAGGCTTCATTGGTGGTAGAGTTTGGAAGATGGAGGACTCTAAGGATGCTCTGCCCAGGACAGCTGCTGGTCCTCAGCGGAGGCCTCGTATTGCTGGTCCTTACTCCTAGTTCTCCCAGAGATCTGGTTTCTGTGCTTCCCTGCGTGCTAAGGAGGTGCCCTGTCCACACCAGGACCTGGGAATGCTACCACTGCCCCATTAACCCCTGCATCTCGTCCCTGACCATCTCACTGGGGTCTCTGCAGGATACAGTTCTGGATGCCTGTTCGTCGGAGAGTCCTGCTGTGACCTCACAGCCCACAGTCCTGCCCGCGATCTCTGAACGTGGGCTTAGTGAGCTGGAGCTGGTAGAGCAAGAGTTGCAGGCCCTGCAGGAGGAGCTACAGGAAGTGGCTGAGGCCCGGCGGGCGGCATGGGAAGCCCAGGTGAGCTCCTAGGCAGCTGCTTCGCCCGCTCTTCCCAACCCATCCTCCAGCCCTGCCTCTTACTGCCCCCACCCCCCAGACTGGGTTAACCATTTGACTAAGTCTCTAGATGAATTACTCTGCTTATTTGGATTCAATTGGATGGCGATACACTTGGACAGCAAATTCCAGCAGCAGGGGGCCGCAGGGAAGGGATCCTGCCGTCCTTCACTGCCACCTTCAGACTTTGTCCAGGGTCTCCCCAGAGAGGTGGGCAACCCTGTGCAGCATTGCCTGTCCTTGCATCCCCATTCCACGCACACTGCCTGCTGGTCAGCCACACAGCCCCTGCCCAGCGGTCCTCCCCAGCCGTGCCTGGTAGCATACACCATTCACTGCTGTGTCTGTCAGTTCTCCTTTTGGGAAGCATTTTAATGTTAGCTGCAGGCAGGCCGCCCTTAAGCTCTTCCTCGAAGGTCTCCTCGAAATCAGGGGCAGCCTCTGTATTTCCACACTATCCATCCTAGTGAGGCTGGCATGTCACAGACTGAGGAGGCTGTGGTTGAACCAGAGGTCTCCTCCCCTCTCCCACAGCAACTGCTACCCCAGGAGTGAGGCCCTGCTTTTATCCTGGGTCATATTATTTTTTTTTAGAACAGTGAGGGCAGAGTCCATTCAGCACAGCACCCAGGACTCAAGGTAGCTTTCTGGGGTCTTTGGAGTGGGTTAGTGGCTGGGAAGCCTCATCAGTGTGGTCTTCACCCCAGGCCTGCTGCCCACAGGGTCTTTGGACAGGGACTGCCCTAAGGGTTAGAGGTAGTACCCTGTGTCCCCTGGGTCAGGCCAAGTCATGTGCTCCACTCCTGGACAGCAGTGGGAAGGGGAAGGCGGAACAGGGTGGTGGGGGTCGCTGCACTGACCCCTGGAGTAGTGGGTGTCCTTGGGAGTCTTCTTTGAGTCCCGAAGGGCCTTAAGGCACGTGGTGGGCTAGAAACTGCCCAGTGGTCCTGCAGCTAGCAGGCCTGAGACGGGAGCCCTGGAGGTTGAGGTTAGGGATCCTGATGCCCCGAGTTTTGGGTCCGTGTGTCCCAGCTGCTGCTGGCATGGTTTCAGGGGCTTTGTGGGGGTAAGACATTTTTGGGCTAGCCAGGCCTTTTGTACTGGTTCCGGTGTGGGCTGGCTTTCTATGGTGGAAATGATACATGGGCTAAGACCTTGTCTTAGAGCTCTGGAGTTGCAAGGTTATTGGGAGCACCTGGACCTGTCATCCTGGGAACAGAGCTGCCCTCGGCTCAGGAGCCTCTGTATCTTCTCTTACGCAGATTGGAGGCCTAGGTCAGGGGCCAGAGTGGAGCACCACAAGGAAGGCCTTGCAGAAGGCTGTTGAACAGGAGTTGGTCGCCCTGCAGGGGTCCTGGGAGCCATCCAGTAACCCTGTCCAGCCACAAAGACCCCATCGACTGGTGAGATGTAAGGAGGAGTCGCCAAGGCCCCAAGGCCTCCAGGCAGCCGAGGTGATCAGGACACTGAGCGCCCAGGAGGCCTGTCTGACGAAGGTGCTGCGTCAGCTGCAGAGTCAGTGTCGGCAGGAGCTGGCCAGGATGGCTAGTGCTCTGCCTGGATTGATTTGGATTCTGGCTCCTGGACACTGAGGACCTCAAGATGTGCCCACCTGTGTAGAGGGCTTTGTAGGGTCTCAGAGGAGCAGACTGGGGCTGGCATGGGAGCAGAGGTCCAGGCCATGTATTCTTTCCAGGGCCAGAGCCCTTTTTGCCTACAGTTTCGGAGTCACCGTAGGCTGGTCCTCCTGAGACGTTTGGAGGGGACCTGTAGATACATGGTAGAGCTGTCTCTGGGGACACCAGGCTGCCGCCCTCTCCCACTGTCCCCTTACTTCCTCTTGGGACACTGGGATGTAGGTGGTGCATGGTTGGCACCGTGCTGGGATCACACATGCCCCACAGTGCAGGAAGTGTTGGGCCTCCCCTGGGTGGGACGGCCCTGGTTGTTTCCCTGCACCTCCTTCTTAGACTCTGGCTGGACGCCTCCTACAGCAGGGCCTCCTGTACTGGGCCGTGGCTGTGCCTGGTGTGAGTGTGGTGGGGAGCTGGATGGGGGCCCTGGGGGCTCTGCCTGGGGGAGAGGGAAGCTGCAGTGTAGACAGAAAGCCCTTTGTTCTGGAGGCTGCCGGGCAAGCTCAGGTCTCACAAAGCGGCCTGTGTCCAGGATGTGCCCACAGCCTGGTGGGATGGCTCTCCTAGCCCAGGCTTCTCCCAGCCAGCGGGCTCAGGCTGGGTCCCGTGGTCTCTAGCCCTGCCTTCCTTCCTATCCCCAGCTCCAAACTGACCAGACGCTGGACAGGTGGTTGGTCCCACTAGGCAACCTCTGGCCTCCTGGTAGCTCAGGCCTGAGGCCACCACCAGACTCTGGGCACCTTGGACACTCAACTAGAACGTTGTCACAGGGTTTTCCTGCTTGCCTAGTGTCGTGTGGTAAGAGTGACAGCTCATGGCTGGGGTGACCGTTCTGGTGCAGGTGGCCTCTGGCCCTGGAGGCAGGATACCATGATGGTTTTTCCCTGTTTCTAGTACACTTCTGGAGGACCAGTGTCTAACAGGTCCTTCCTAACTTTCGTGATGGTAGCTCCTAGAGTCGCTGGACCCTCCTGCCTGCTGCCGGGCCTCTGCTGTGCCTTCTGGCCTTGATTTGGGCTATAAACAAGTCCACTTAAGCTTCCCGCCTCTGAAAACTGCCCTGCTATAGGATTTCCAGTGGCTCTTAGGAACTTGACCTTAAAAAATCTAAATGCAGCTGGGTGGTGGCGGTGAACGTCTTTAATCCCAGCCCCTGGGAGGCAGAGGCAGAGGGATCTCTGTGAGTTTGAGGCGAGTGTGGTCTACAGAGCGAGTTCCAGACAGCCAGGGCTACACAGAGAAGCCCTGTCTCAGGGGGAAAAAAAATCCAAATGCAGATCAGTGCTCCCAGCTGCCACTGCTCTGTTTGTTCGGCAGAGTTAATCATTTCCAGTCAGAATTCCATGTACACGAATGCATTGTCTGTCTCTGTGGGACTCAAGGGTCTGAGGGCCATGTCAAGGAAAGAGCCTGTTGGGGGCTCAACCATGGGACCCATCCTTGGTCAAGTTGTCAGACATTGTCACTTGGGAAGGACTTCAGTGCCAGTTTTTCCACACATAAGGGCTTGAAATAGCTCACATTGGTGCTCTCATTGTTCTGTGTCCTGAGCTCCCACACAGTCAGATAGGAATAAAACCAAGTGTCAGTTGACCTCATCCTTGGTGGACCCTGAAGTCCAAGGGCAAGCTCACAAATTGATGATGTATGGTGCTCCAGGGTCCTTACCGGCAGCCTAACAGATTGGGTGTTATGGGCCACCTGACTGACACTCTATCCTCCCTGACTTTGAGGAAGCGTGGTCACATTGTCCCTAACACCCCCAACCTGATCCTGAGGTCAGGAAAATCTAATACTTGGCACAAACACTAAAGATCTGGCCACCCATGGGTACATTGGAGGCCAGCAGGTGGACAGTGGGCCTTGCTCTGAAACCAGCGAGGACATGCCATCTGTTTCTTGGGTTCCCACCCAAGGGAACCTAATATGCAAAGACAACCCCCCCCCAATTGCTTAAGGTCGTGGGGAATACCAGAGGTGGTTTCCTGACACCAAAATATGCTGACTATGAGGGGAAGTTTGGTAATTTCAACTCTTATCAAAGCTAGAAATTTCTGTTTATTAAAAGATGATATAATAGGATGTGTCTCAGTGGTAGAACACTTGTCTGTCTTGTGTGAATTTGGATTCCGTCTCCATCTTCTTGGTTGGGGGTGTTGGTGAGGGAGACAGTTTGAGCTGGGAGTATTAGCTACATTTGTAAATGGTTGGGTATAGAGATGAGCAACAGGAAATCAATCTTGAAAGAAAGCTGAGTGTAAGACGGGAACTGAGAATGCCTGATAAGATGGCCGGAATGCCATCTTCATGGCAACCAGCGGAAAGGGAAGAAGGCTTTGCTACGGGCTGGAAGGCTGTGCTGAGACACTGCCTTGGGTAGGTCTGGAAGGCTGTGCTGAGACACTGCCTTGGGTAGGGCTGGAAGGCTGTGCTGAGAC